TTTACCGCGTCGCTGGGATTGAGGGAGGGGCGCTCCTGGTTACCTGTTCTTGGGTAACGGCATAGAAAGAAGAAGCTTTTGAGCGAAAGTTTTGGTGACGGCCACAGCAAAATACTACAGCGCGCATTTTACAATCTTCATGGGGCTTCAGTGGCTATACATTTCATCCTACCATACCAGCAAGCCTTTCCATAAAGACCCTTTACCGCACCCTGCGGCACCTTGGTGCCTTTCTTAGGCTCCATCCTAATCCGGCGACAAAAATGTACCGTGATGTTTAGCTGATCGCTCACTTCGGTGACAGACCGGCAACAAATCAGTGTATTTCGGATGGCCTGGCCTGTCGGCCAATTCACTGTTTTTACCAGCCAACTTTCAGTATCCCAAACTGGACGGTAAAAAATGCTGAAACAGATCTAAACATGGCGATTCATCTAGCCACAAGAGGATGCTTCGATCTTTGTTGTGTAATTGGAATATGTTAGGCTGGCGCTGACTTTCTGCGGAGGAGGGGTCGCTTTCACCGGGGCTTCGCAAGTGGCATTCACATTGCAGTTTCGCAAATGCCTATCTCGGTTTAATTTTTGGTCCTAGTTGATATTATTGATTGGCATGTAAGGGAAAGTGGGTGAGATGATCGAGTCAAGGCAGAAATTGGCATGTGTTTATTCAAACTGTCTTTTAAAGTCACAGAAAAACGACAGAAACGGCTACTGACACCGAAACAGTCGCAAGCACCCAATGCCCCAGAACTAAGCAAGCAACGAGCTTTCCTTCCTTTGATGAGGACCGTGGGTTTAAGGCTGGGGGCTTATGAAATTCCGCAAGGACACGCACCACGTTAGGATGCTTGTGAAATGCCAATCGATGTCATTGTTGCTTTTTCCGATTGAGCAAAGTAACCAGTCAAACGATCATAAAATCAGCGTTTGTACTATGCACCTACATAGTTCCTATTCTATTCAGGCCACAAAACCCCCACTCAATTAGTACATAACTGTGCCAAATCTGGGAAGACAAGCACATAATGGGGGATGTTTGCGTATTTGTTTACTGCTCAGCCCCCACACTCATCTTTAAAACTATGCCATTGCTTGAAATGCAAATATTTTATTAATGCTTCGTTAGCAATGAAGAGACGATTTTTCCAAGTCCAGCCTTCACCCAATATTAGTCTTGGCTGCTGGAAGCTGTTTTTATAGCCAATGATATAGGTAAGAAGGGGGCAATAACGAATGAGAAATAAGGTGGTATAGGAAATATATGCAATGAGGTTGGGGGAGGAAACATTCCATTCACATATCCCTCTTAACCAAGAGATTTACTTCAAATAAGAGGCGGTTCTGTGGGATTTTGGTCCTACTGCCTTGGAAGTCAGTAGAAAATTGGTATTTAGTACATTTGATATTTTTAAAACACATTTAAGCTATGGTTATATAAGGACAAATGCACGAGTTCAATAAAACTAACAATTTCGCGCCTTCGATGCGTCCAAATCAACGAACGAGCTTATGCTGAGTTTATGTATGCAAAGTATGGTAGAAGCGGCTAGAGTCGGCAAAAATTGATTTTATGCCTCGGTGGTGGAAACACATCCCATTTCATTGTTCAAACTGCAGGATTTCACTAAGTTTAGGCCCGGAATTTCTGATACCTTTGGTTTGTGAAAGCACGTAACAGTCTTGTTAAGTTGGACTGCAGCCGTAAATGATTGCCTTTTTGCTTTTTTGTTTTGTTCGCTTTTGCTTAGCGTCACCAGAAAATGAAATAACTGGTTTTTGTGTTCTTCGAACGGTTCTGTGATCCCATCTTTCCATGACCCCGATCCATCCTTTTTCCAGCAAGCCCCTACTACCTCTCGTCCAACATTTTCACAGTCTCCGTCACCTCAGTTTGAGCCCATCCCGGAACACGACACACTCCTTCTTCCCTTCTAGGCAGCCAAGAAAACCAGTTTGAACCAATATATACACATTGGGGGAGCGCAGCGAAAGGCGCTCACAAGGCAGCACATGTCGCGCCACGCTTGGAGCGTTCCAAAGGTATGGTGGAGAGCACCATGGTGGTTGGGGTCGGGCTCCAAGCGCACACGTGGTTTTCATGACTGGGCGTGGCCTTGAGGAGGCTCGCATGTTGGACGTCATTCCCGAGTGCTGCGTGCCACTGTTAAGAATTCTGCCATGCGCTCAGCTGCCCTGGCTCTCGAGGTCCCTTGTCGTCTTTTTTCGCGGTCGAGGATGGCAAATCCAACCTAAATCAAGCTTAAACGTGAAGCCGCGGCAAGTTCCGAGTGTGAAAGAAGACCGTTTTTGTGATTGAACTATCCCATTATCTAGCGCCGGTGTGCCTGCATTCTTCGCAGGAGCGCTTATCCTGGCGTTAGTTGAACGACATTGCAAGAATAAACTTTTCGGTTATGTGCATGACATTGCAAGTCGCGGTGATGAAGGAGGCTTTCGCTGATAAGCCGATTCCTGATTGTGCTGCTGCGCATGGACGTCATTACCATTTCATGTCATATCACATAGGTATTCACTGCCTATCACATAGACATTCGGAACGTCATATCACATAGGCATTCGGAATGTCATATCACATAGGCATTCGGATTGCCATATCACATAGGCATTCGGAATGTCATATCACATAGGCATTCGGATTGTCATGTCACATAGGCATTCGGAATACCATATCACACAGACATTCAGAATGTCGCTGCTGGGGACGATTTTATCCGCAGACATTCGTTCGGTGACAAAAAAAGAACACACTTTTACCCACCACGATAACATCGAAGTCGAACACAAGAATATGGCTCGACTGCTTTCCTTTTGCTAGCTTACTGGCGACGAAAACAAAAGAACACTGAGTTGTTGTAAGGCTCCTGATCATACCGTGAATGGTTTAAGGGAGAGTTCCACCTTTGTATACGGTTTTGAACTGAAACAGCCATTCAAAAAATTATTCGTGCAGTTTACGGTGCTACCCTTCTTAAGACCTAAAACACTAGTTTCTGAGCTACATACCTGCGACGACGTGTAAACCATTCCGTGCAGATTATTTCAAGGCCATTCAGGCATGCATGACACCATGGAAACGTCATTCATATCCTGCCCCCCCCTCCCTACATCGATCACGTGGTGTTCCTAACCAACATAATTCCACCCAACCATGCATCACATCGTTTTCTATCACTTTTAATTGTGCCAGTTTCGATCTCAAATCATGATTTGCACTAGATAGGATAAGAAGCTAGACATGGGTGCTAGTTATTACGGAAATATGAGTTGTAATGGAATAGCTTAATTAAAGCACCATAATTGAACGTGTGAATGGTGTTACATGCCGTAAGCTCACGGATAAACAGGCAAGAGCACCACGGGAAAGGGTCAGAACATGAGCATGCAACGATGCATGATGCAGAAAACACCTCCAGCGCTACCATGGCCATATTTCTGCAAAATTAAGTACCACAAGTGAGTGCTGAGGTTGACAATTTCGCATGGATAGGTCAGCAGCACCATAACGGCATGGAAACATTACATGACACAATAAAAAATGACGTATTGAGGAGCACATGTTATGAGTAAGCTTATTTCATTAAATCTGATGCTTGCTTTAATTTCCTCAGTTGTGAAACATTTCTTCCAAAAGCAAAAGCAGTAGCTTGCACACGAATTTCAAACCGCATTGGTGCAAGTACCATCACATTACGCGAATATTGGAATGCTGGTGTTGGTAGCAGAAAGGGGCGTGGCCAAAAAAATTGTAGGATTTTGACGCCCTATGTTTTACTTTTTGGTTATGCGACACAAGGTCAGCTCCTGAAATATGTGTGGCATTTTTGGCATTATTAGCTCCGTGTCCTTATATCACTTACGAACCTTCGAGCATCCTCCTATTCCCGGAATGCCTAATGACATTCAAAGCTCAGAGGACGTATGCCCGCAAGACCTACTGCTCTGAATACCTACGTTTGGTATACTTTCGCTCGGAGGACCTACTCTCCGAAGACCTACGCTCAGAATACCTAACCTTGGAAGACCTGCTGCCGTGAATGGTACGCTCGAAAGACCTGCACTCGGAAGGCCTACTCCCGGTATGCTCGGAACCCTGCTCCCCGCATACCTCCTGGCGAAAAACCTGCTGCGTCTCAGATTTTGTTCACGTGCCATGAACGATCAACGGCTGTCACTACACAAACACCAGTCGCTCCTCCATGCCCTGCCCCCCCCCCCCCCCCCTCCTCCTCCTCCTCTGCTCCCAAAATCTTAACCCAACTCAGCGTTGCTGATCATGTGCGCCACTAGCAGGCAAGCTGATTCTCAATAAACGCAAGGAGTCATACAAACGCGTGTGGCTTGTCATAACCCGCATTTCGGACTGGGATTTCGAGCTAGCTGTTAACTCCACGAGCGACGCCACCTGCGGAGCGGCGGATCACCTTACAGATCACAAATGACACTAGCCGCCGGCGCCGGATGCAGTCTGGACGTCTGAGATACAGGGCGACTGCAGAATGTCACTACCTATCGTACAGCACTGCACCAAGTTTGGCACCAACTTCTCCAATCTATACTGGCAAACCGCGCTTTATGAAACAGTTAACATCGCGGTGGAAAGTTCGCGTCCCGCTGGGCCCAACTTCAGGCCACACGCTCTTGTTTAGGAAAGACGCTGTATGTCCCCTGCAGCTGGGAGCTACGGCCATGTAACCGGACCTTTAGAGGAAGACTGGCCTCCCGAAACAACCGAGAGAGGTACAACAAAACTGTTGTGCTTCAAGGAGTCCCATGCATTAACTGATGCCAGAAAAAATACAACCATGGCCTCAAGCCCAAGACGGACGGTCTTTGAGAGTAACAGGACGCATTACCAGTCGTAATTTCCATCCTCAGCAACGTATAACAAAACCCCGCCGTAACTGTTCGCGGCGCCGCTGAGGTCGTGGCCGGAAGGAACCGGTGAAGGCGCGCGTCAGGCGGGCGCCACGGGCTGACCTGAGGTATCTTGAATAGCCGAAGCAGGTTGGCCACCTGGATGGAGGTGACGCTGGAGGCGGCGCCCACCACGCCTGAGATGACCTGGTTGACCTGGTTCCGGATCTGCGGACTTGTGCCGTCCGGACACTGATACTCGCCGTCGTCAATGTTGCTGATGGAGCCTGCCGGCCGACGAAGATAAGCGTTACTTATCATCCGCGCCACTTAGCTAGGTTGCCACTTGCGCGTAAAACTTTCATCATGGATCACGGCGTGTATGAGTGATAATACGACTCTCTTATGCCACCTTCTTGTAGAGAAGCCAACAATGGCGACGTTTGCTAATACACGTGGTCAAAGATTGTCATTGTGCATTGTCAGTGGCAGAGCTTGCTCATGTTGACGTGAGTTGATCGAGGCCGTAGCCAGTGGTGTAAACATAACCATAACCAGTGGTGTAACCATAACCATGACCAGTGGTATAAGCATAACCAGTGGTGTAGTCGAGGGGGTCACATGGGTCGCGTGTTGCCACCATATGAAACGTGAAACAGCAACAGTAACGGTCTAGCAGTCTGACTTAGTCTTAGCTTTGTTAAAATGCTACCTTGCACTCAAATTGTCATATTTTGTCGTAAAAATTATAAGCGCTTCGCGCCATTAGCCTAAATTCCGTCCGCTACCAAAAAGTATTTATGTATGGCATGATAACCACTGCATCGTTTTCGCAACCCACTTTTATAAATATGGGTGAGGTCCATGGGTGGGCAGCCGAAGTATTCTCAACTCGAGTTTGAAATTCCGTACTTCCGCTGCAAGAAGCTTGTCGTCATTACGGCCTCAAAAGTGCATCAACGGTACATGACCTGGCTGCAGAACAACGAAATAGGCCTATGTATCTTTACAACGGATAAGATAACACACCCCACAGTTACCGTCTCGAGAACATCATACTTAGATGTGGTAATGCTCACTATATGTAGGGCTTGGAATTGCCATGAGTGGCCGAATGGCACCTCCATTGACGACCTTCTTTATACGTAAACTTGAACAAACGGCACCACCAACGCGTGCCTAAACCCCAAATTCTACGTCAAGTATTTTAATGATATCCCAGGTATTTGAACACAGTCACGATGAACTGTTGAAGCTTGCTAGCGATTGGAATTATTTTTTCTAGACCGTCAATTTCACCTCGGACGGGCCTAACCTATCAAAGGAGGCAATATGTTTTGGCAACGTTAAGACAAGTTGATGGTAAATTGTCATAATTGCCAGTTTTATGCATCGAAGCCATCATTAAGGAGTAATTCTTCACCGTGTGTCATCCCATCCCACGTCAACAAAGAAGAACGTCCTTCGCTCGGAATAGCAACGCACCATGCGGGTGCCATCCAGCCAAAACACCAGCTCCTTGTTCACACCAAATATCCATGATCTGTTCATGGCGAACAGTAGTGACAAACAGGCCCTATGTCGGCCAGCAGGGGCACAATTGCTGAACAGGGACAGGGATGGCACCCTGAAGGACCTTATGCATTGGTCGGAGCCAGTGAGGCAGTCAAGGGAGGCTCATGAGGCTTTAATTCCCCCCCCCCCCCCCCCGTGCCTTCAGGTTCGTGCGCGTTTTTTCAGCACGACACTCCCGAATATGTTTCCGGAATCTGGTGTTCAGGAAAGCTGTTTTAGTTTGAAACATCATGGAAAATATCCATGGGCAGCGATATGTAGCCCCCACCCATCGTAACTTAGCAACTAGACCAGCGGATAGTCGTGAAAAATGCACGGTACGCAGCTGAGGTAACTGTTCAAGGCACTATGACAAACCAGCATTGATAGCTCATTGATACGCTGAATGCCGTACCTATCAACGTTTGTGAGATCCGCTAGTCTGTTCGCAGTGCGTAGGTGCTATCGATGAGGCTGGGACTCGTTCGTAAAAATAGCTCCCCATCGCAAATCACGTCAGCCCTCCCGTTGCAAATCACGGCTGCGCCCCTCGTCGGGGGCCTCGTGACGTTGAAAGGAGATCAGATAAATGATGATGCAAAAGTTCACATCCACAGCTAGACAGCAGAAACGTCCTGTATTTGTCAAAGGCCCTAGCATCGAACCATGGGCTCTCCGCGCCGTTTTAAGCAGGGGCCAGTGAGGCCTCCTACGTTTATGTAGTGCCAGATGTCCCTGCCAGAGGGCCTACCGTGTCAGGGAGGAGACAGGTGTATGCTGTGTCCCTCTGAGGGCCTCCATATGGACCAGGGAGACCCTGTCCACGTATCACCAGACTGGCAGCCACCAGGAGCTGCAGACTGGGCGGGACCAGTGCTCTTCAAACTAGGACCACAAGATTTTACTCGTGCAATTTCAAAGTTGATCCTCTGAAAAAGGAAATAACAGTTACAGAGGGATGAGCAAGGGAGCTAATCCGTCCCAACTCTCAATCTGAATATCGCAGAGGTGAAACCTGTGCCCTGGAATACTTTCTACGTGTGTACCAGCGGATGTCGTAAAGCTTTTGAGAGAACTGCTTCCCGTGCCACTGGATGTTAGCTGCGAGACCGACGCCGCGCGGCCCATGCAGGCCGCAACACTGGGGTCTGTGTTCTTTCGGCCTCGCGGCTAGCTCACATGCTTAGAACTATTTGATTAATTTTTCGCTAAAGGATTCTAAAGACAGGATTATTTCCTCAGGGGAACAAGGGCTGAATATTTCAATAGAAATGTTGACCCTATGTCGATCTTCAATATGCGCTGGCGTCCAATCCACAGCCCCTCAATAACTTTGTAAAACCCTGAGAGAATCTGACAAGACCTTTGACAGGTATTGTTTTAAAGAAAGGGCCAAATTAAAAATTTTAACCGGCTTGGCCGCCACGCTCCATTGTATGCGTTCAGTTACATCCGACTTTATGTAATGTTTCTCGCATCTTAACGCATGCTGATTTGTACCTTCTAATGGCTTTTAATTTCTAAGTGGTAAAAAGCGAGGGGCTTTATTCTTTGGAGAGGAAATACCAAGTTCCAGGAGGTCGTGCCACAGAGAAGCATGACACCTCCATTGACGAAATCCGGGATCCTCTCGTGCAGCAGGACGTCCTAAATTATGCGCAACATCTCGCCAATCCACTGCAGCTGTCTCCGGACGTTTGCTTCTGGTCTTTGCTCTCGCTGCAGCCTTCATCGGACGTTTGCTCCCGATCCCTGCAGTGAGGCGCGAGCAGCGCCGGTCGACCGGATCGAGTTTCGGGTGAGTGTTTTCGGCAGTCTGCTGGCTGCGTCTGCACCGGCAGCAGCTCGCAGAACACCATTGTAGATAAAAGCAAGGTAAACAAAGCAGTCCGGCCCTTGCAGGACGACGGCGGCGACACACCCACGACTGCAGCCGTTAGGTCCTGGCTCTGCACTCGCTGTGTGCCGGGTCTCCCCTGACGAGCTCAGAAGGTTCGGTAGTTGCGATCTGGGCATCTGCCCTACTAACCTAGTCTGGCCCTGGTCTTGCCCTTAACCCTCGCCCTGAGAGAGGGCTCAGAGGTTCCTAATACCTTTTCCGTGGTAACTTCTGCTACCAGCAGCATTCACGAGCAGATTTGACGATTTCAAGAGTATACGATTCAAACCTTAATGACACACATCTTACAGCATTTGGGAGGCATTTCCAGTGAGTTTTCCCCAGGCATGTAGCTTGTTTGGTTCTTGACATATCCGAGCAGGCCAATGCAGTAATAGTCTATATTCCTTTGGACTGACATGAGACACCAAAGCTTGCATGTGTCGAGGTACCCTAGTAACTATCTCAAGTTTTTCAAGAGCATTTCAACGCTCTCTTCCGCAGCATCACAGCATTCTTTGTTCTTGGGACAACAGCGGGGGCCTTTAAAGTGCTAGTTTAATCTTATCATCTGTTATCTGACCCGTCAAAAGCCGCACTCACTATTGTTCAGTCACACCTACATGATGCAGTCCGACTACAGCTTTCAAATGCCGCTTTCTATGCGGCTCTAGCCTTCTTGCCGAGCCTACTGAGGCCTGGCTTACTTGCCTACTTTGTTAGCGAAGGCGAAAAATTACCGTAAGGTGAGGATTAAAAACCGTCCTTTAAACTGGTGAAGTGAAAAAGTTATGCATTGATTTCGCCAGGGCTCAAGACTACAGTCATGGTCATTTGCTGACCGAGTCCTGGTTGTTGGTTTGAGACGTTAGTGAGGACGAGTACATTCCATGAATTTTGGGTGCTACCCACTGTATTCTAGCTGGATGAGGGGCAGAGGCGTGGTGACTTTTTTTCCGCTTTGAGAGCGTTGTAATGCATACAATCAAGGAGCGCTCGTTACAGGAAGTTCAAGTGTTGGGAACGAGACAACTTTGAACAGGAGGAGCGAATCCCAGCGCTCACGTCGAGAACATTGTGAAAAGGATCGCTCGCCTCACGTCAAAGCGCGGCAGGTGCATGAGTTCGGGCTCGACCTGAAAACTCAAGGCACAACTGAACCGTCCTATCATTCCGGTAGTGTCGGGGTGGCAGACGCTTAGAACCGAACTTCGAAGCTCGCGTAGGATGGCCCGCCGTTTTCAATCCCTGGCCGCCGTTGCCGAGCGCCGACCGTCGTTTCCGAGCACCGGCGGCCGCTGCTCGATCTCGGCTACCTCAGGGTGCTCTCTGTCATCGGATATATTGCCGTAGCACGGTTCACGGGACAGACGGGCCAGAGAACAGCCTGCGGGACAAATCAAAACAGCGCTCCTAGGGCACATCGGAACACCGCTTTGGGACACATGGAGACAGCGCTCCAGGACACGTGGAAGCACCGCTCCGGGACATTGGGAACACTGTTCCCGGACCCATGGAACCACCACTCCGGGGTCTATTGGAACACTGCTCCGGGACACAGCGAAACACCGCTCCCGGGACGCATCGGAACACTGATTCGGGAAACATCGGAACATCGCTCCCAGGAAACACGGGAACACAGCTCTCGGGACAGCACAAACAACAGCGTCCAGGGCAGATCGAATGACGACTCACAGGACACATGGGAACATAGCTCTCTAGACACATGAGAACACGGGGTCCTGGACAGATCCGAGTACTTTTCCTAGCCCAGACTAGAGCCGGATTGTGTCCGCCAGCAACGTTCGTCGGCTGTCCAGCCGGACTTTCCCGGGGCGGGGGGCTGCGGCGATA